TGTGTTTTCATTCTGTGTAATTTTACTAAAATATCCTAAGAATTCATAATGTATTTAAAGGTATAATATCTACAAGCTGTATTCTAAATTAAAACTGATTTTACGGTATTTAGACCTCCATATGTCCCTGTTAAGGATGGGAAAGAGAGTGGAATGTGACTGTTGAACTACAACAGTGCTAGTAAAAATGCAAGAAAATGTGCACTGTTGTTAAGAAAAGACATAATTGCATGTTAATCTGCATTTTCAGATATCTCTACTGATGTTAACTTGGTGTCCAGCTGCTCATTCTATGATGGCTAAAAAGCAGATGGGGCAAAAGAAGCAGCAAGGTTAAGCTACTTGCTCTAAGCCATATAGCTCTGCAGAGTTAGGGTATCTTTTTTGAATGTGTGCTTGCTTGTCTAAGTGAGCTTACTGCAAAATTACTCTGGGTTTTGCAATTGCTTGTTTGTGTTTCCTTCCCTAACAAGCCTCAGGTTACAGCCTTTGTAGGTAGGTTCAAAGATGACAAAATTAACTTTTGGCAAGTTAGCGTTTGTTATTCATATAAAATTTTGACAGTGTGAATAGTTGTGGACATCCAGTATATTACAGTCCAAAAGTTCTCTCTGAAAATGCATTCAATGATTAAAAAAAAAAAGCAAGAAATATGAACAAAGACAGAAAGATTATTAAACTTGTGCTCAATAGTAAAATATTAAACTTGCTTCATCCTACGCATGCTATGGTCAAATGTATATCCTTTTGATTGCTGTCCTGAATGGAATCGCGCTGAGCCTGGGAAAATACTGATATGTGTTTGTCCTTACTTGACAGTTATAAGGCTGTGGTACTGGCAGCAAATCACTTTGGTCGATTTTTCACGGGTCAGATCACAGCTGCTGGTAAAGAACCCATGTTAAAGGCTTTTTTTCCTGCCTTGGGGCTAGTTCTAGAGACTTTAGAAACCCATATAGTTATTCCCATACCAATTTTGTTCACTATCTGTAGTGTAGATTGTGTTGTTTGGTTTTTTTTAATAATAGAATAATTTGAGGTTTATGTAAGCTTGCTTAGTTTTAAACTTCAGACTAGCTATACATGGATGGATTTTTTTTGGTTTTGTTTTGTTCTTCCCGGATGGGGAAAGGTAAGGAAGTAGTTAAGAAAAGTCAGAGATGTTGAGATTTCTGGTGTGTTGAAGACTGTGATGGAAGGGATTGCTTGATTGGAATTGCAGGTGGCTTGGGATGAAGAGAAATGAAAGTAAAAGAATTAGGGAAGAAAAAAAAAAAAAGGAAGAGAAATTAAGTAGAAAAGCCTGTATTTACTTACATAAACTGTTAGCTACAGATTAATCTGCTTTCAGATAAGTGAAGTTAGCAGTTACAGCTTTTAAACTGTTACATTTACAGGGCAGCTTTACCAAAATCATTTTTGGCTCTGTGTTACAAAGGTAACTTGTTTAAATTGCTGGTTAATGAGGCATATCTGCTGTCGTGAAAGCGGTATAATGCTGCTGCTTTTCTAACCAGCTCTAGTTTTAGTTTATGCTCCAAGCACGATGATGGTATCATTCTAGGTCTTGATCATTGGAGGAGGAGTTGCTGGCCTGGCTTCTGCAGGAGCAGCTAAATCAATGGGTGCAGTTGTTCGTGGATTTGATACTAGGTAGGTATGTGAAATGGTAATAGCAATCTAAAATTATTTTAGGATTAAGTAGTTTGTAGCTGTATTACAGGTGAAAGCACTTGTACTGCACTGAATCACAATTCCCTTGATACTGTTTTTATTCCTGCATTATTTCTCAGTTTTTTTTTTATTCCCCAAAACAACCGAACCTTCCAAAGAGTCCATCTCATTAAATCATTCAGAACTATATGAATAAAAAAAATCATTGCTTTATGAAAATGAGAAAGTTAGGGCTTTTGTCCAGAATTTCATGTCTCCCCAGTTCTTGGGGACACAGGGAAGAATAGTAAAGAAAGAATCTGTATGCCATCATCTAGAGCTTGCTTGATCCAGGTTCATAGCCGCTCTCATTCACATCTACTCTCCTGATCCCAGAGAAGCCAGCTAGGAACTCTTTGGAGACACACTTCAATCTGCTGAAGGAAAGAAAGAGATCAAGTTATTTTATATATGAAACTCAAGATGAAAGATCAGGAACTGCAGTTGAAGCTGCTTTAAATGCTGCTGTCTTGGGGTCTCTTCTTTACGTTCAGAAGGATTATTTTGTCCCATAGCCATTTTTAGAGAAATAGACTGGGAAAATTACAGACCACAAACGTTTTTCTTCTTATTGCTACAGGAACTGCAAACTCGATTATTTTTTTTCTATTGAATGGCCTTCTTGTATTAAGCACATACAAATTGAATATTATATCTGCATTAAAATTACTTATATGTGTTTGTTTTTATGCAGAAGTGGCATCTAGTGTTAATTAACTATATTTAATATGAAAGAATAAAAATAAATATATCTCCAGGTTTATGATCTGCAATAGGAAAAAAACCTTCACTCTGGTTTGTTAGAAAATCTGCATATGCCTTAAAACAAACTGGAAAGAGTTTTTTTAAGTAAAAGCATGATCAAAATCTGTCTAAAACTTTTCAGACTTTTTAAAAATTCCTTTCTTTAAGCATCCTTGTATACTTTTATCTTGATGTGCAAGAATGTTTGTGTTAAATCCTCTGCATGTTGTGAATGTTCACCTCACACTGGAATTTAGTCCATCGTTATTTACTGTGATATCACATGATGCAAAATAAATGACAGATTTACAGGATAACTGAAAGAAAAAAAAAAATCCCTGTGGAAAAAAAGGCTTGCTGGTATTTCCCATTTCACAGATTAAAGACAGGGCCACAGGCTGTGTATTTATCACCTATCTTAGATACCTAAGTTTGGGCTGTAGACTTACCTAGTCATGACAAGAGAAATGGGTGAGTAGCATTAGTCAATAGTTAAGCTCCCAGCTTTGAGTCTCTTCTCGGAGCAACTGTTGACTGTACAGGAAACTGTAGGCTGCCTTTATTCCTTAGGCTGCCTTCATTCCTTATCCAAGTATCTTCATTAGGGACTTAAAATTAGTGATGCATTTACTTTTTTTCACTAAACACGGAAAGTTGAGGACTTTAGTTAGTTATGGTCTCCTTAATCCTAGAATAAGCTTTAGATCTCTTGTCTGAAGAAGACTACTACTAAAAAGACCAGAAAAGTCATGGTGGATTGAGCTGCCTCTAAATATGGATCTCTCTAAAAGTAGTGGTTGTGTGTCCTGTCCTGCTCTGGAACAGTTCAAGTCTCTTGGTGCTGAGCCTTTGGAAGTAGACTTAAAGGAATCTGGAGAGGGACAAGGTGGTTATGCTAAAGAAATGTCCAAAGAATTTATTGAAGCTGAAATGAAACTCTTTGCCAAACAGTGCCAAGATGTTGATATTGTCATCACTACAGCACTTATTCCAGGTATGTTTTACATGCAAGATACTAATTTTCCTTTATCTTGTGTAAGTTGGCATGTTTGGAGCTGTGCCTGCAGTAAAAACAGAGGTGTTAATGAATTATCTCTGTGTGAACACGTACCTTTTCCCTTCCCTGATAAATGACTTCTTAAAGTGTGTGTCTTTTTGCTAGTTTGTGAAAACAAAAGTTGTAGTCTTTGACTTATTAAACAAGGAGTAGATAGTAATAAAGTAAGAATATATAGTTCTCTTGCATATTTATTGCATTACTGCTACTTCTGCTATGCAGCTTGTGCACTGAAACAAGTCCAATTGAAACAGTACTGTCTTTTGTAATTGAAACATAGTAAGGTAGAACTTAGGTTTTAGTACTTTGTATTGCACAACATGTGTCTTTTAATAACTTATGATGTGGAGGTTTTTTGTTTTTTGTTTTTGTTTTTTTTTTTTCCCCCGGTTATGACTTGAATTGTAAGATTGGATGTTGTCTGTTTACTGAGGACAAAATTGGACTTGTCAGCATCTTTGTTAAACTGCCCATGCATACTTTTTTTTTTTAATATGCTTGGGTGCAAGATGTTTTGGCATCTCTTCTCTCTGCCTGTATAAACAAATCCTCTGTGACATTTCATCCTAGGTACCAATTAGTTGAAAATTTTGCTTACAAAAATAAGGTTTAGCGAGAGAGAGAAGGGAAGAACTCATCTCCTGAGCTCTACAGATAAAAGCTTTATTTTGTGTTTAACTTACTGTGCCTTGTCTTGTCAGGCAAAAAAGCTCCCATCTTGTTTAAGAAAGATATGATTGAATCAATGAAGGAAGGTTCAGTTGTTGTGGATTTAGCTGCAGAAGCAGGGGGAAACGTTGAGACTACAAAGCCTGGAGAAATGTACGTTCATAAGGTGAGTGTTTTGGTCTGCAGATCATTCTCTGCCTGTATTTTTTTAAACTGTATTTTGTAAACTGTGTGCTGAAAATGAGTAGCTGATTTTGCTATGTAGGCTTAAGTAATCCTTTAGATTTGCATTTGGTCACTAACATCTCTATGTATAACAATTTGAAGATTTTTTTTTTTTTAAAGAAACAAATACCTTTGTATAGTGTTAATTTGGTTGGTAAGTATGGAAGTGTTATTTCTTAGACTTCCGAGTCCAGTGGCTTGTCTCTGATTTCAGGGTGTGGTTTGATGTCTGTTTCTTGGTATACCTAAAGAGACAGCAGTAGCAATAGCTTCTTTGACTTGCTCATCACCTCCCACAACTGGAGGTTACAATCCCTGTCACAGGTACAGCTAAACAGGTTAAGACTATGTCAGTGTTTACTTCAGTGCAAAGTCTCTGGCTTAGCTCAGTATAATTTCAGCTTCAGGAGGGTGCCGTCTTCATATGTCTTTAGCTTTGCCAACGTGAGTGTGTCTGCCTTAGAGTATCCAAACCACTTGTAACCCAAACTAGGAATAGCATGAATTGGTTCATTAAACTAAGCAATTTTGCCCTGGACTGAGCTAACTACTTTGGTTTTGCTCCAATTTTCATTGGCTCAGTTGAGAGCTTGTTTTCTTTTTTGGGGGGTTTATTTTTGGTATTTGTGAGAAATCTACTAGCAGTTATAGAAATCTGGGTGATGAGATTTAAAGTAGCAGATTTCCAAGTTTGTTATTTGGTAATGTAAGGGCATAATGCCGTTGTTATTCTGCTCTAAGGAAGCCTGTAGGACATATTGCTGTCATGGTTGTCCTTAATATAAACAGGGCTGTGTGTGTATATCATGAGTCATGCATTGTATTTGGCTTTGTGGTTTTCTAGGGCTTTTGATGTCATTGCTTAAAAACTGAAATTAGAGTATGTAGAACAGAAATAAGCAGATACTTCCATGAAGAATTTATATGGAGTGCTTTTAGCCAGAGGAATATTATCCCTGGATATAGCGTACTGGCACTGAGCTGTGGAAAAGAGCAGCAGTGCAGAACTACTAGTAGCATGCAGGAGCATTGCATTAAGAAGCCAGAGTTCCTGGAAGCATGCATGGATCTTTAGCTGTAAGTTGCGAGGAGCAGTGTTTTAACACAAGCCTGTTTGAGCATGAAGAGTGTATGCCAGCCTCAGCTTCCCACACCTTCTAAAAGCTCAAGAGCTTGATAGCCAGGTATACTCACATTTATTCTTTAAACAGTGTGGATATATTATGTTGCATCTTTACATAAATGTGAACCTGGGCATATTACTTGCACAGCTAGCTAGCTCTGAGGAAGCTCCCTTTGCTTCTCTGTCATGTAGAATGTTGCCTCCAGTGCATGTTCTCCAGAAGGACTGAGAAGATGCCAAGCACTGGGTAGGATCATCTGTTACCTGGTTGCTTTAAGAAGCTAAAATCTGAGAGAATGGTAGGATTTGGAGAGGACAAGCTCTTGTACCAATATGTTCTCTCTCTGTAGGCTTGTTGCTAATAGCATTTAAGGTGTTGGGTTTGATCATGTTGAATTTTGTAACGGTTGCGAATAATCCTCCCCCCAGCTAATAATGTTAGAGCTGCAGGTAACAGTTTTAGTTGGGATTAAAAACAGAAATAAATTAAACAGTTTGGATATATATTTCCAGAAGGATGTATTGGAAGAGATGCTGCTTCTTCAGCGATTGAACTAATCCTTAATATTTTTT